TTTATAGCCGCTCTGGAGTAAACCGTGATTTCATTGTCAAGCTCAGTTCAGTTCTTGCATAATAGACAGTGACAGTGCAGGCAGATCAATATTATTATTGAATATTAAATGTTAAATTTTATGTCCCCAACTAAGAAAGCCAAGCCAATGTCAACAAAGGTGATAAAAGGCGAAAGTGGCAAGGAACTAAAACTCTATCAGATGGCAGAATGGAGAAAAAAACCTTAGGAGAAACCTGGCTCAGTTGGGGGGGGGCAGTTCTTCTCTGACCAATGAACGAACAGTTTATGATTATGATTCAGGAAGCATTATAGGTCAAAAGTCAGATTGGTTTGAAACGGTCAGAATATTTTCTAGTTGGTTGAAGATCGGAGTCACACTGGTATGGAGACGAGTTTATTGAGGATCAGTGTCGTGTCGATGAGGCCTTTCACAGGGGAGAGTCTAGTTGACACAATCTCTGCTGACATTCAGGGATGCGTTGTGGTCGTGTCTAGGCGCAGGTCCTCTGTCTGGTCTGGATACGGCCCGGATTCGGCTGACTACATCATGCGTCGTGGTCATGTCTAGGCGCAGGTCCACCATCTGATCTGGATACGGCCTGGATCCAGCTGATTACAGTAAATCTCGGAATAAGCAGAAAGACTAACATTAGCGTAGATGCCATTCTTCGTATGATGTAACGGGTACATCGGGTGTTATAGGAAGTGTTCCCGGCTCCGGCTGACCTAATTTACAGTATGCAGCCTAAAGGTCCTTTCACACTGGACGCGATTTTGACGCACAAATAATTTGCGCGATGGTTTTATTTTTTGGTCAGCTGTTTGTTTAATGAGTGCTTCCGCACTGAACGTGAATGTGCTGCGGCGAAAAACGACTTTTATTTATTTTTTTACTTTTAAGGCGAAAGAAAAGGCTTCAGCCAATCGCGTACAAGGAAACAAAGGTCACGTGACTGCAACAATGACGGATCTTCTGATTGCTTTTGTGTCGAGTTGTCTGTGAATGAAAATCTGAAACAAGGACTGGTGGGACGTTGTCCTCATTCGTTCGTATCGAGTCCAACCGGGTGTTTACAAGGCTTTTCAGTCCATTTGAGCCTTCAATCCATTTACTAAAAGTGTTTATTTGATTGCATGTAAACGTAGCCCCTGATGAATGGGACAGCTCACCTTAAGCAGAACGCCATACGCCTCTGCCATATGTTTCTAGCTCCGGTAGCATAACGTTACTCTCTGTTCTATAAGATTGGGTGCACCCAAAACCTTCTTTTCTGCTTTTAAATAAAATTAAAAGCTTGTCTTCGCTGGATGATAATGATGGTGATGAAGAAGCTATGTCCTACAGCAAGTCATAGCATTGTCCCGCATTTAATTTTTGTCTGCATCCTTTTATTTAATCGTCCTTTAAATTACAATTCTACAATAAAAAAAAATATAATAAGAAAACAGAAAATGTGCAGCACATACGTTACTGGAGCCATCACAAACAAACTTTTCGTGGACAAAACAAACTCTTTCGCTTTGATGAATGCTGTGTAGACAAGGAACCGCACAACTGTGGACCTCTTTTAAAAAGTGAACTGGTGAAAGTGAGCTAAACCTGCCAGTAGTTACTGACATATGTCCATAATTAATGAGAAGGCCCAATCGAAGCTGCCAGATCAGACAAACAATCCAAATTCAAGATGCACTGATCGAATCCGGTAAGAACGCATTCATCTTTAATCTGTCCTAATGGATTTATGTGCTTATTTGGAAATGTGCTATTTAGCGATTGGGTTTTTTTTTTTTTTTTTAAAGCCTATTAACAATGTAAAGCATCATGTTAACATCACTGCAAAAAGACATCTAATATAAAATATATATTTATTCACCTAGTAGGTTATAATAATAAGTATATAGTACGTTTTCTCCCTAGTGTTTAAAATCAGGTCTACTTTCCTGTAACAGAGCAATAGCCACCCTATCCTCGACAGGTAACCTAGGTCACCCTCGCCTCGACATGTTTTGGATTTGACGCAAACTATTCCCACGTGAACTATTCGCTTTTCCGTTACATGTCCGGTGTGAAAGTGCCTTAATAATCATTTAACTGATTTGAATATTGGGGATGTATAATTTTATATGTATGCCCAGACTGATCTCATGAAGTAGCATGTGTATGACACGCCAATTCGTTTTTTCCATTTTTGGCGTGCTATCAACACGCATAATCACTTTTCAGCGTGTTAATGAACGCCGTTGACTTAACGTTATTACTGTAGTATCTGTATATATAAATATATGACCTACCTCAACCCCGTCCCTAAACCTACCCATCACTGGGGTAAATGGCATTTATGAGTCTTCCTCTACCATCCTAGGAAAAAAAAAAGATTGCTTCCCAGATATAGATCTACATTTTGCTTCGTTTCGCATGGACATTTGACGGCGTGTACAGACACGCGGAATCACTCGGATGGGCATAAATACATGGAAATGTATTTAAATACAAATACAAAATACTGTGTGGAAAAATGTATTTAAATACAAATACAGTATTATTTTGTATTTTGAAAATACAGAAAATACATGTGAAATTGGCAATTCAGTGCAGGCATCCCTATTAGGCTGAAATCTATCTGGGCCTATTCTGAATGCCAACAATTATTTAGATGTGTGCAACTACTTAGAAACTTTCGTTTTCATTTTAAATACCTCTTGCCTTCCCCAGCCCTGTAGGAACAAAACTAAAAAAAAAAAAAAAAAAAAAAAAAAAAAACTAATTTCAAACATCTTTATTATGTTTTATCACCACCATTACCTCGCACTCAGTAACAAGAACTCAATAACACAAAGTCAATTATATTTTAAATAACTGATGGTACTGATGTAACTGATGTACTCCTCCAGGTGATGTACCTATGTGTGTCAGACATCTATCTATTCGATTCCCTTTAGCACCACCAGCTTCAAAAAGTTTGGGTTTAAGACGTCGTCTGTGTGGCCTATTGATTAAACGGTAACACTTTATTTGAAGGGGTGTGCATAAGACTGACATGACACTGTCATAAACATGACACTTTTAATGCAAAGTTGACATTGTTTAAAATGTCTTTGTTATGACAACTTGACATTAACCAAGACAAAAATGTCTTGATTATGACAACTTGACATTAACCAAGAAATCATAACCTGTCACAAATATGTCATAACAGGTCTAATTATCAAACTTAAAGAAGTTAATTAGCTTTGCGTTAACATTACATTGCCCTGTCATATGTGGTTGGTTTTGACTTTGGCCGTCAAGACACCATTATAACTGTAACATGAATATTTTACTTGTCCTCAAGTAAAGTGGAGCACATTGTACTAGTTATAAAGATGTCATTAAGGGTTATTACACTGTCAAATTTTTTAACAACAGTGTCATTAATATTTCCCCTTACCTCAAGTAAAGTGGAACACGTTGGACTAGTTATAAACATGGCAGGTTGACAGGTTATGATTTCTTGGTCAATGTCAAGTTGTCATAATCAAGACATTTTTTGGTCTTTGTTAATGTCAAGTTGTCATAACAAAGACATTTTAAACAATGTCAACTTTGCATTAAAATTGTCATCATTTACCGAATGACACTTGATGACAAAAGTCATAAACATTCATAAAGACTCCTTCATGTTCATGACAGGTGTTATGTCATGTTTATGACAGTGTCATGTCAGTCTTATTCACACCCCTTCAAATAAAGTGTACGGATTATACCCGCAAAGGAAAATAAGTGTGTGATTGTGATGAACCTCACAAACAGCTGTCTAATAAGTGGATACTGGTTCAAGATGTCCAAATCCTTCCTCTGATCTTCTAGGATTCTGGCTCAAAGTATTTTGAGTATTTTGAAAATACAAAAATACTCAAATGTATTTAAATACAAATTACATTTGATTTTTTCCAAAGGCTTTAAAATACAAAATAGTATTTTGTATTTCAAATACGTATTTTAAATACATGTATCTGAAATACTGCCCATCCCTGCGTAGACATACACGCATATACGCGGATAGCTCAAAATGCGTAGAGATAACACGACACTTGACTCGAAAGTGGCGTGTATGTTTACGCAAAAGTCATGATGTCATGTTGGTATGCCAGGTCAAAGAGATGTGTTTTTAGTCTAGATTTGAACTGACAGAGTGTGTTTGCTTTCCGGACAACGTTAGGAATATTGTTCCAGTGTTATGGTGCTAATTAGGAAACCGCCTGTAGTCGATTTTGATATTCTAGGTATTATCAACTGGCCAGAGTTTTTGAAATCGCAATAGATGTGAAGGACTATAATGCATTAAGAGCTCGCTCAAGTACTGGGGAGCTAAACCAATTAGTACTTTGTAAGTAATCAGCAAGATTTTTAAATTTATACGATGTTTAATAGGGAGCTAATGCAGTGTTGACAGAACCGGGCTAATATGTTCATACTTCCTGTTTCTAGTGAGAACTCTACCTACTGTGTTTTGGACCAGCTGTAGTTTGTTTATTATGCATGCAGGGCAACCACCCATAAGAGTTTTACAAAAATTTTGATATATATTTTTTAAGATGGAAGAATGCTGTTTTACAGATGCTAGAAAACTGGCTTTCAAATGAAAGATTGGTATCAAAGTAAACACCCAGGTACCAATGACGAAGACATCAATTGTTAGACAGAATTCTAGGTTAGTGTGTGCAGGGTTTTTGGCCTCTCTTTCAGTAGCTTAGTCGGTATAGGGTCAAAACATACCAGAATAAGGTATGTTTTGCATGCTGGTACCAGCATGGGTTCCTGGTTGCTGGTTTGCTGGTCCCCAGCATGAGAATGAAGCAGGAGTGCTGGTGGACTAGATAAACTAGCTCAATTTCGCCTGAGAACAGCATGACCACCAGCTAGACCAGGAATATACCAGCTCCAAACAGAATAACCCAGCTTGGACTAACATGTAATTCATGACAGTTTTTAGTGGATTTTTCAGCTGGATGGCTGGCTGGCTTGATGGATGGATGGATGGATGGACGGATACTGTGCCTAAGTAAATCAACATAATAGAGAACAATATAACGCTAATGTGAAATTGGGAATCTTATTACTTGTTAGATGAGCAGAAGTAGAAATTGATGTAAACAAGTCTCAACTGGTGAATCAGAGTTTGTGTGCTGATGTCTTTTGGCGCTGTTGTGGTGAACATTTGCATTTCATGTCTTTCCCTCCATAAACAAACTCCCCCTTCCCTTCTGTACACTTGTAGTCCATCCCTCAATCCAGAGAGAGTGTGTGTGTGCTGGGAATGGGGTTAGCGGTCAGTCTGACCCAATTTTCTGCATGAACACTTTCCTTTTGAACATTGCCAAAGTGAGGATTAAAAGTTAGTTTTAAGTTTGACATTGTAGTATGGGTTAGATTAAGGCTAAAGGTCTTAATGGTTTAGCAGAAAATGTCAGCATGAAAGGTCCCGTTTGTCAATTTCCACATTGAAGTTGAATATAAAGGCCTATTACATGTTACAGTTACATGCTAAAGTTGAGTATTTGAGGTTCAAACATATATCTCCAATTATGAGCAAAAAAAGTGATGTTTGCTTTTGGAACCAATGCTAATAATGTCTGAATGTCACGTTATTTTCAATGAATACATTTCCACCCACCTTCTCTTTTAAATGAATAATTGTCATCTCTTACTCAAGAGGAAAGATATTGCACTCATATGGAAGATCAGAGAAGATCCAAATTTATGAGTAATTATACGATTTATAACTCGTAGTCACGTCTGACACATCATTCAATGTGTTATTCATCATATCACTGTTGCAAAACAAGTGTCAGTATTTGTTTTTCACACACGGAATTGAACACACTTTTCTCACACTGGATCATGGAGGACCTCCATTACACGAATTGACACATTGACCTCCAAACAAGTATGGGGACTGCGAGGCCAGGATGAAAGGCCCCTATTTGGGCACTGAGCTCATTTAACTCACGTTGTGTATGATGTGCGGGGGGCCCCATGGCCCAACATGGGGGAGAGGGTCACATGGTGTTGGGGCCTCCAACAGCTCAAGGGACTTCTGCGTGAGAGAGGACATGCACTGCCAGCCTCCAAAGTTGTGAGTAAAAGGGACCTTTTGGGTCAATCCTCATTAAAAATGGAAGCAGTTTTCATCTTAGCAAGCCAAAATGACCCACTGTGAACTTTTGTCCACTTCCTTTCAGATGCAGTTCTAGCGTATTCCAGGGCAATTAGACAAACGTTACAACGGTGCTTCATTTTAGAGGCGGGAACGACGAGCTGTCTCATTGGTCTGCCAAACCATCAAAATCTAACTCATGCATTTCAATAAGATGTTTAGAGCCAAAAAACAAACAAAAAAACAATGCATCTCAGGACAGATGGCAAAGAAATACCAGGCTTTCAGTCAGCAAACAGTAGTTAAATAAGAAACTGGTTTCCTGGGGTGGGGGGAGGGGAGTTTTTTTTAATGACTGAATCAGTATTAATACAATAAGCTGTCGGCTACTGGGACTCGAGATGCTCAATGCCATATAAGAGTGACCACAATAACAACAAGGGAAAATCTAGTTCTTAGAAAGATCGAGTTCTTAGAAATGTTTTAATGTTGGTTTCTCTTACCGATTTCAAGGTATGTTTATATTTAATGATTCTAAAAACTGTCATGCGGTGTAACGGATATGAGCAAGATGGCACTGGTGTTTGAGTCTAGATGTCTGTCCTGTGTGTTGTTGTCGACTATTTTAATGTTATTTTTAATATACTAGGTCTACCTCATTAATCTATGGCTGTCAAACCCTGCTTAAAATTGCAAACTTAGTCTCTTTTTCGACTGATGCCGTATGGAGTGGAGTGTGTTAAAGGCCTGTCGACGTTCCTCGGAAGAGGCGCAGCAGGAGACAAGGGAAGCAAGCAAGTGTTGCCTTCAGGGTAAAGTCAGGTCTGGATTTCTATTCACCGGTGTTTGAGTGTTTGAGACTTTTTTCTGGCTACCATGTGGCAAGGTGCTCATTGGAGCTGCCTCATCAGTGGATTCGACCGATTGTGTCCGGGTTGCTGGACGAGCCTGTGCATCCTGTTTCTCCCAAGATTCGCGGGGAGGAGTGAACCATGAAGTTCTCCATCTGTTAAATCAAGTTCGCCATTAGCCTAGCAAGATGGCATTATCAATGTTCGTTCTCTGGTCAATAGGACTTTCATAGGCCCCTTCCTTAGACTAAATCCTGGGGAAGCATATTCAGCTAATCCTACCTGAAGACGAAGGCAGGGGTGGAGCCTACCCCAATGGATGGACATGAGCCAACCTGGTGGTGGCGGGGGAGGATGGAGGGGTACGTCAGCATCATCAACTGTGAACATAAAACAGAGAGTTCAGTGCTTTTATTCGCCAGGTGTCAAGCAATGATTGGCCAGACCTATTTTTATGAATGAATGATGCGGCATTAAAATTTTCCTGGTAGAACTTAATGCTAAAAGCTCTCATTTCCAGGCTGGAGAGTTGTGTTGGATTGTAGATCACTGTTTTAAAGTGGTTTTGTTCTTTTTTAACAAACAGATGTTCAATGCTTCTATTGGTCAATATATTTCTTCTGTCCTCTTGCATGCGCTGTACCCAAGGGATCAATTCTTGGTCCGATTCTATTTTCAGTATGTTGCCTATGGGTGCTATTTTTAATAAATATGTGTCTTTAATCTATTTTTAAGTGTAAATGTAGTGTAATTTCATTGTTATGCTGATGCCACTCAGTTGCATCTTCCTTTGCAACAAAAAATACAAAGAATATTTAGGACCACTTTAGCCTGTTTAAACGAACTACAAGTACTGTATCATTATAAGAAACCATTTGGTGCTAAATCAAAACAATCCTGAAGTTAATTTATTTGGTAAACTTTAAAGTGTCCTTAACCATCTTTCTTGCTATATAACACCTTGTGAAAAAACGTCTCGGTTACGTATGTAACCCTCGTTCCCTGAAGGGAACGGAGACGTTCCGTCGGATGACGACGAATGAGATTTTCGCTTAGAAAGCCTATCAGCTTCAATCAATATAAAACGATCCAATGGCAAAGAAATGCCATGGGTCTGCAGAATTTGCATGGCGTAACTCCGCTCACCTCTGCCTTATCAGCTGTGGGTATTTAAGGAGGACGCTGAACGCAAATCAGGCATGTTTCTTCGCTGAGGAGCCAAGACTGAGGTCCGGCGATCCCCGCAACACAGCGGAAGGTGGCAGGAAGACGTAACGAGGGTTACATACGTAACTGAGACGTTCCCTTTTGTTGTCACTCCGAGTTCTGTCGGATGACGACGAATGGGATTACCAGTCTAATCTCGCCACCTTCTCAGCTGTCTTCCAGTGCCCTGCGTAAATCTGAGAACCCTGTCACACTTAGCTTGGCACGGACGAAGGACTCCTATTTAGCACAGGAATACCAAGGTACACTGGGAAGCATATTCCATAGTTTAGAGGGAGATATGCAATTATTGCCAACCAGGGGGGTGGGCGGACTTAGAGAATACACATATGAACCGAAGGATGCATATGGGGAATCACTGGGGTGTCCAGCCGCAGGTGGAATATTTCAATCCCAGGAGTGGCAAGGTGGCTTGCCGAGGGAAAGACACACGCTCAGAGAGGCTTGCAGTGGAAATACACATGTGGGGGTCTCTCAGGGGAGGGAACCTGCACACGGAAGACACCTAGCCGATGCCCAGGCAATAGACACTGGCGCCAATATCCAGGCCGTGTGTTTGTTGTAATATTAAAATCACTTTGTAATGGATACTGTCTACATTCGTCTGCATCTTCTTTGTCTTGTGACAGAAAGACTAAGTAAAAAGTAAAAAAATCATGATTAATCGTTTGACAGCCCTAATTAAAACCTGAATCACCCTTTCCTCACCAAATTAACTTAAAATTATAATTAAGTTATATTTTCAGAGAATTGCTGACCTGCGTGATATGCAGTTCTATGATAGAATTTCCTGTCTTTTTTTTCCCTGAAAGTTGGTTGGACTGTGAGAAAATAAGACAAATGTTTTTAAGATATTAAACATAGCATTTTGGTTTATTTTGTAGTTTAAGAAAAACAATAATAAAATTGTAAAACAAGTATTACAAATCTAATTAAATAATAGAGTTATGCCAAGCTACTTAAGAAATTATTTTCAAGACTTTAATTTCTTTAATAAGGCCTTTTTTCTTCATAAGATCAGGAAAATTTCAAAATTTAAGAAAATAAATAAAACATAAAAAATGTATTTTAATGCTGAATTTAAAAATTAAAAACAGATTTTTAATTTACTTATTTGCATTTAATTTTTTAAAAACAATAAAAAAAGAAATAATGTTGTAGTCAACTTTCTCCTTGTTTGCTAATGGATTCTGAGTGGGTGCTGTTGTTTTGAGTGGCTGCTAGGGTGTTGCTAACTCATTGTTTTCAACCCCGAGTCAGAAAAGCCTACCCTCCAGTCTCTATTATACTCTGGTCTCCAAATATAGAGTTTTATAGTCCGACAGGCGAAAATTGGAGGTCTGAACGCTTTTAAAATAGCATCCCTCTCCTCAACAAGCTGCACGATTTGAGTCGTAGCTCCATGAATGAACAAAATCTGGAACCAATATCCATGAAATTTAAGCTCAGAGTCAGTGTCCTGTTTTGCCTCTCTAGCAATGTGCAACAGATTGATGCAACCGCTACAATATAAACTCCTGTGACTTACCCTATTATCTAACTTTGAGGGCTTAAACCTTCCTTGAAGGAGGTCTGAAACCATTCATAGCTTTTGAAAAACACAGATGCTTCCAAAACACGGTTCACAAGTTTATATTGTTGCACAGAGTCAGACGGATAAACAGTTTTCAAGGGCACGTCGCCGTAATACCGGACGGATTGTTTCTGAAGCTCGCTGGGGGATGTCAAGGCAGCAGGTCTGGGTTCGGGCAGACATCCCTCTCTTCTGCTCTTTTCCTCCACCGGTTATGCGATACTTGTTTTTGGGGAGAAAAACAATGAGAGTATTTAGTCAGATGTCACGCAGAGTCTAGTTTGTCTCTTTCGCAATTCAAACCTTTGTTCATTGGGGCTTTCTCTACCCTCCCCTGGTAGCTCAGCTTCTCTGACTCAATGTGTGTTTTCAATTACAAAGCTTCAAATCGGGTTTTTTTTTTTTCCCCAACCGAAGAATCTTTCAAATCATTGCTTCCTTATACATTTGTTACCACATGAAAAACGCAGAAAGTGGGGGAGGAAAAAAAAGGAGGAAGCAGCAAATGAGAAGGGGGTCCCGATAAGGACGCCCGCCGCACAATGAAGCTGTTGTTTTCATCAGGTCATGTGTGGTTCTCTTAGTTTGATCTTTTGTCCTCGTCTCCGACCGCCGCCACTCACGGCTCCCGCTGCGTACGCAAACTCTCCGAGGTATCAGAAGAGAAGTCTTTTCCAGGAGACTCTAAGAGTTCCTTTGGGCAAGGCTCAAATGGATTTTCTTTGGAAACTATGCCTTTGTTGTGTTTATTGTCTGCTTCGCGGCATTACCTGTGACTTGGACGTCTTAGAAAGCCAAATCTCCTGTAATCACGCCGAAGAGGATTGCTCTGGAAAACAAAAGTACTTTGCAATAAGATCTTACGGTCTTGGGAAATTCAGGAGATAAATCACAGAGGGTCCATATTTTGAATACGTCAATTTATGTCTTAGTCAAAACAAAGAAAACCTGCCTACACCTCGGTTTTCTAGGGATAATTAAGGGTTGCAGAAGTAGCAGAAATGTCATAATTTCAGCATTGCAGGTAATGAGTTTGCTTTGTTTGGGCCCTGGATCTTTATCAAGGTTTATTTTCCAACTTCGTACAGTAAGTCTGAGGTGCAGGTAATCCAAATGCCGGCTGAGCCACTGAACAGTGTAAAGAATCTTAATCCTCTTATTCGATTTAAATATTTCAGGTTTTATGATCTAGCCAATAATTTTGCACCACGACTATAGTGCAGGAAAAACAAGAAAACCAACATGCCCGCATTCCCTCTGAGAACGTATGTTGGAGCCGGTCCCTTGACAGTCGGCTCCATTATAATATCCAAATAATCCGCTGTCCCTTGCTTGGGTGGATGTAATCTACAGAACATTTCTTACCTTCAAACTTCCACATGGGAAATTAAAATATGTCATAGAGGTAAGTAGATTAGAAAGGCCTGGTCAAATCTATTTGCAGTAAGTTATTCAACACAGCTTTGGGGTGGGCTAACTTCCTAGAGAACAGGCTGTACAGGTCACTGATGGGCTTAACATTTGCCCCTACACTCAACAAATGAACTGGGGACTCCAGCCGGTGGGTGGGCCAAACCCTTGACAGTTCACATAAGCACTTACCCACATGCTCAAGGCTTCTGCAATGGTCATCTAGGCCTTATAAGCACTTGGCCCCTGCCCGATCCAGGTAAATCACTCTACCAAGGAGGCGTCGTTTCCTTCTGATCAATTAGGAGGGAATCCATTAAACAAGTGATTACTACTACAGATCCTCTTTCTGGTATAAATGAATGATATAAATAGTGTCTTTCAACCCATCTGTCATTTCTGTAGCTTACTTGAAGCAGATGTGAGGGATTTTGTTGACGTAATAATACTTTCTCAAATCCCGGTTTTATGTTTGGAGACCGTAGGCCAATCGTGGAATATTTTCAGCGTGAGACTGCACACCCACAGTCTGATGCATATTGAGCACACATAACTGGAAAGCACTTTCACAATTTGGCAAGCTGTAATCTGATTGGCTGGCTTCCACGAGAAAGAATGCAGGGAGGTTTTTTCATCAATCTCCTTGAAAATAAGACTATGTTTCCAAGGTACTGAGGGGATGCAGTAAACTCTTTTTATTTTTCCAAACTTTGCCCGGGTAGTACCATCAAATCATCTTCATAATCAAAAAATATAGTGTTGTTACATTTTTGTAATACAAAATGTTTGACCAAATTATGTTAATTATAATTTAAATCGTTGGTATTTAATACAATATCAAAAAAACTCAAGTTAAGGCAATAAATGGTCAATTTATGTTTTTTATATACAGTAAAAAAAGAATGTATACATTCCAAAGCTCTACATGAACGACATGAGGTTGTAATTAGTGACAGAATTTTTAATATTTAGTAATTTGACTAATTTATTTCATTTTTTTTTTTTGACTGCAGTGACACTATTAGATGAAAATAAAAACTTGAACTAAACTTAGCTGGATGAGTTGCTCTCTTTTATAGAGTTTCTTTATAATTGAATCGACTTTGTTTCATAATTGACAAAATTGAGAGAAAAAAATCAACACTTATTGAACTGAAATGAATAAAAAAT